AAAATTAAAGAAATGTTCTTCAAAAAATTTCATAGAATATTAATCTAATGTATATCACTATCATGGTCATCATTAAAGAATCAAACAGTATGCAGGTAGTCTTAGAATGCTACTCATAATGGAAAACTATTTTTAATAATTAAAATATCTGTCAAGTCCTCCCCTGACAAAGAAAGCCTCTTCAATGAAATTTAGATGAAGTATGCCGCTTATTAGGGGTTGGCCTTATAAGTAATTATTTTTAAAATTCAATATGTAACTATGCAAGCCTTAGCCCTTGTAGCTCTATCAGCTTGGGACGCACATTTAAGGAGAAATTGTTACTGTCAGTTGATGATTCATAGCCAAAATACTCTCTGCTTTGATATATAATTTCTGAAAAAACCTCTCTACTGCTAAAAGGAATATTTGACTCCCAAGACTCACATACAGTTTGGGAAGTGTTTGGAAAGCCACTTTGGCTTTAAAAGACATTAGAAATAATAGACCTGTATAAATTTTTTAAAACGATGCCTGAAATCTAGTATACGGAACAAAATACACCTGTGGCTATGTCTTTTGTAACAATTATGTCTGATTTAGGGTTCACACAATTCCTTTGGGTGCCGACACCTCAGAATAAGTCTGCTTGTCTTGCTTTTAAAACAGTATCTTGGACAGTGGAGCAAGTATACCCAGGTTGATAGCTTGATAAAGTTTTTCGTTGTGATTTAGCCCATGGTTTAGGCCAGGGGGAGTTGTTTCCTGTTCTCCTTCAAACCGAGGTTCTATTTACTTGAGTTATTTCTGCTATGATGCTTCCAAATCTCCATGGCTCTCACTGTGACCAGAGGCCTGGCTTTACTGCAGTGAAAAACCAGTTCATCTGCTCACTAAGGGACTGCAGAGGTGCAGAGACTTGGAATGGACTTTAGAGTCATAAAGCAATAAGCTGAGTTACAAAGGAATTCACACACATTCTAATTGAGTGATAAAGGTATGCCAACATATGTAGTTAATTTTAAAGCTCTACAGGTAGAAGAACACTGATTTCCAACATTCACATTGGTATTTAATGGACATTTAATTTTTATGAGACTTACTGTGATTTCTCTTAAAATGATACACCAGAAATAGCATGTTCCAAAGTCCATCTTATTTTTAATTAATTAAACTTTAGTGAGATCCAGACTGGAGGCCAACCTTAAATTCAGAATTGTTGAGTAGATCAAACAGGCTGCCAACTAACAGATCTGAGCCAAGGACTGCACCTGTAGTTCAGACTCACTGCAAAGGAGCCTGGCATAGCCAGAAACAACCTGGCTTCTTTTTTATTTCAGCACAATTACTTCAGGTCATGGGACCCATTTCGTGCCTGGCTTGGTGTGATTAGTCGGGTTGTTGAGCGCTTGCTCAATTATCAGCCATCACTCAATACTTTTGGCACACTAAAACTGTCAGTCATGAAACTGGTCTGCCTCTGCCTGCCATCTTATAGCCTGGGAATGGAAGCTGGTAGTCTCAGATTTCCTGACCTCAAAGAACTGACAACTTCAGTCTCCTATTTTCAAGAAATGTGGTTTTAAGACAATTTAGGCAGCCAAATATTGAACTAATGTGCTTGTTTAGAAAAAAGGATGCAGACCTTCAAGCTCATATTCCTAAGTGATAGGATTCCAATTCCATGATGTTTTCATCTGTTTCTTCATTCATCAAGAGAGGGGCAGCATATCTCTGGGGATAGACTATACAGCTGCAAGACTGCATGGAGAGCGGGTAACACATTTAGCTTCTTTTCTTCACCATTGCTTGTGTAGCGTGGTCACAATGGTAGCATCTCATTCTCAGAGCTGTTCTACTCATACAGAATATGGAACACTCTAAGGAACACAGAAAAGTTTCAATAAAATTAGCTATTATCATTCAATGAATAATTTAATAAAATGTAGCAGATACATACTTGGTACCTATTCTGGAACTGTCAAAGTAAAAACACCACTACTCTGCCTCTCTTCTCCCATTACTTCATCAAAACAGAGAGAAAAATAATCTCATGGATGTATCTCTAAGGTATTAGTAGTTTGAATAAAAACTAAAGAGTTGAATTTGAGAAAAGAAGATTGACTAAATCAAGCAGACTCTGATAAATTCATGAGTCCCATACTTACTACACGGTGATACATAATTTTGTAAATGTGCACACTGTAAAATTCATATAACAATTAGAATTCATAAAAAATAAGATTCCTAAAATGTTCACAGAAACCTGTAGCAGTCATTATTTTAATGAAAATATAACCAGAAATAATTACTTATACATAAATATCTCTGTAAATATAACAATCTAAGAAAACAAGGTAAAGGTACTTTGATAGATGAGATATATGGAAGATTCTATTGAGAAAGAGAAAGAAAGAATTGCACAGACATGCAGAAGAAACACAACATATTGTAAGAGAATATATGTCCATTGGAAGCCAAAAGAAAGAAGAGGATGTTGGCTTGAAGAAAATGAGAAATGTGTTGCACATTGTTCTGTGTGGCTTCAGTTAATGTCAGCCTTATTATAGTATTTTGCTTTTTTTTTTTTTTGGCATTTTCTGGAGGTACCAATTGTGGCCATATTGGGGACTGGCTTAGGAAGCAACAAACTTCCCATGTTACACTCGAATTTTTCACTACTTACCAATCATTTGTGATCTAATTTCATCATAGTAGACACATCCCAGAACAACAGAAAAAAGGTATAATGTAAGAACACTAGAATTTTGAAACTATTTCTATGGTAACCAGTTAAAAATCAAATTTTAGAAAATTTGACTTCTCAGAGGAAGCAGAGCTAAATAGAGTAATAGTAATGACGATTAATATAACCAGTTGTCCCACATCAATCGTATGTATGTTTAGTAAAAAATTCTTTAGAGAAATAAATTTAGATGTCAATGCTTTCTAAAATTTGCATTTTAATACCTCACATCTACAAATTAATGCAGGAGAAAGTATTTCATAGGTCAGGAAGCTGAAAGAAAAAACTAATTACAGATACTTGAAGAGCTCTTGAAGAGTCAGAGTTCTTGTCACTGTCATTTCATCTCACATTTCTCTATCTGAACTGCATAACCCTGACCTATGATTCAGATGAGAATGGGAAGAAACATGGGGGAAAAAAGGAAAGTTCAGGGCACCATGGCCTTTGCATATTAATGTTTAAGTGTCAAAGCAGACAAAGAAAATGTGTCCATCCATCAGGCCTACACAGGCATATCGAAAATAGATGCAGGATGAGAAATTAGAGTCATTCATAGGAAAATGGATACATAGTGAGGATATACTCCTAAGTGAAATAAATAAGTCACACATATGTAAATACTGAATAGTTTCTCTGGTGTGAAAACTAAAAGAGTACATAAGATCCTAATGACATAATTGACCTTGTCAAATAGGAAGAAAAGGGCTAATGGTGTAGGGAAAATGGGAAGGGTAGGGTAAGGTAATAAGGGAAAAGAAAAACATAAGAGAAAATGAAAAAAATGGAAATAAAGTGTTTGTAAATGGGGAAGGGAGGAGGGGGTGAAGGGAGGGCAGGGACAAGGGGAAAAAATGGGAACCAAGACCTGTCATGTAAAGGTATAGGATCCCAATGATGAATGTAACTGTACTGTATACATAAAATGTACCAATAAACTCAATAAAAAAAAAGAAAATAGATGCAAATACTCACTGCCTGCTAATGCACTGTTACCACACTATACCACACTACACCAAAGGTATAATTCATATTAGCTATTGGAATTTGAATGTTAAGAGAAGCATTAAATGAGCTTGTGATTTAAACTCTATTGTCTAAATTAGATATCCAATAAGAAACAATGCAACCAAAAATGCACACTGCATGTGGGATTTAAGTTTTTTAATAAGTCCACTACCTTTTTAAAATATGGTGGATGATTTAATATTATATTACATCTTGGTCCCCAGTTACCAATTTTTAATGAAGTAGCCATGGATAGCTAGTAAAAGAGTGGATCCACACTGAATTTGGAGATGTTAGCTTTTCAGAATTGAAAGATGTAATAAACTACATACTACTTAAGTTTTTGTCTGTATCTAACCTTCAGATAGTAGACAAGTTAGAATACATTTGTTTTTCCTCTAACATTGTTCCCCTGGAATATAAATGGTGTATAACTTTTGGACACTGCTTACCTTACATCTTATCTCTAGCATGATGAATCATTTCCATGTTAATATATAAATTATGATATTCCTGAAGAATGCTTTGACACATTTATTATATGCTACTGAACTGAACAAACTTTGGCCTGAATTGCAGCTGAGCTGTGGGCAAATATCATACTCATAGACATTTAATTAAACCTGCATTGATTTTAGTTTGTTTCCTTGTTTTGGAAGCATTAGATAGATTCCTAAACTCCAACATTGAGGACCCTTGGAAACCTCATAGGCCCTAGACATTGTGCCTCCAGTGCCAGGTGCATAAAAACACCCTGACTGGGACCCCTTACCCAAATGTCTACTTGCAAAAACACAGGAATATTTCTCTTCTGATAGCGCTGTGTGGCCATTACAACCTGCAATTAGCTTTTGTTAACATTAAGTTTTACTATCAGGATAGAGGTGAAGTTGCAAACTCCAACTCTACGGAGATCCTTTGTAAAACAGTAATTTGTGCATGCTCTATGAAATTATTATTGAATTCAAATATGTATTACTTCTCTGTAAAATACACATTCTGCTTCAAAGCGACTAATATTTTTTAAAGTCCCTAAAGAACATAACTAATTTATTTAACTTTTAAAGTTTCATTGATATTTACCAATATACTTCTTTTTAGCATCTGCCCTCTGTTTTTTTTCCAATGCTGATATATATATATATATAGATAGATAGATAGATAGATAGATAGATAGATATAGATATATAGATATAGATAGTTCTAATGAAAATCATTATTATGAAATGTTGTTAATTTAATGTATCTTTGTTCATCTATTTTGTAGGTCCCTTTAGATGCAATATAAGAGAGCAGAAGCCTCAAAAAGGTTAATGCCTGAATTAACCTATCTTCAATAAAAGAGAAAGCTAAGTGGTGAAGCCCACAGACACCTCAAACCTGGATTCCACAATTCTGAGTTAAACTCTGGAGATTTTTTAACTCTGCTGTAGGAAAGCCTTTGCCAATGCTTACAAGGAACTGTTTATCCCTGCTTCTCTGGGTCCTGTTTGATGGAGGTCTCCTAACATCACTTCAGCCACAGCCACAAAAGTCTTTAGCCACGGAACCGCGAAAAAATGTCATCCGCCTGCCAGGTCGAAGAGCACCTTTCCAACGCGTTAAACGAGGCTGGGTATGGAATCAGTTTTTTGTGCTGGAAGAATACATGGGCTCCGAACCTCAGTACGTGGGAAAGGTAAGGACATGTTTCTTTTGACAACTACTTGATGGGAAGGGGAGATATGAACTGTGTATTGTTTATGGATGTTTTTACACAGGAGTTGACAAAACCAGTGACTAGACCACTGGAGTCCAAATCCGAGAGACCTGATTTGTCTTCCCATCTCAATGGCTTGGGTGAACTGTAGAATATGACTTAATACCTTGATTTAGTTACTTTTCTTTTGTTGCTGATGCCCTCAAAGTTAAAAGAGGACAAGTTTATTTAGCTGAGTTTATAGAGGTTAGGTCCGTAATCAAACGGCTCCAAGGCAGGTATGACAAACAGGCGTGGCAGAGGAGAAAAAACATGGGGCACACAAAGAAGCCAAAGCAACAAGGGAACCTTAACAGCATCTTCCTGCCCCTTTTTTCTTATCCACATTACTTGGATTAGGGTGGTGCCAGTCTGTGTACAGGTTTCGCGATCACACGCCCTTAATTCAGCACCAGGCACTCTAAATTCAGCCACCTCTGAAGCAGCCTATGATTGCATGAAGCTTTCTGGGGGCATCTAGATGCAGACAGACCTCTTTGCTTCAATACTCGTTCGTTATTTTATCATGAAAATATTATGTGTGCGTGTGCGCGCGCGCGCATGTGAGTATTTTTTCACCTTGGACATTCTTTGTTGAAAACATGACATCAAAAATATGGTAATTTCATTAGAAATACAGTTATTGTTCACAGCTAAGCTGGAATCGTTTAGGAATCAGATAGTGAAAAGTCAGCAGGCATAAATACTCTAAATTAATAATAGTAATATCTAATCAAAAATGTATTCCTTCCCTAGAAGCCTCAAAGTATAAAATTCTTTTTGGATTTTTTATTTTAAAGGATTTGATTTGCCTCCTTTACACTTTATACTTTATAATTTTCCTATTAAATATTTTGCAAAATATTTTTGAAGATACTTATGGTCAAATGGATAAATGTTATAACCAACATAGGTACACAGGAATCTTTCATATAGCACATTACACAATTTTTAGTTCCTATTAAGTTTATTGATATGTATTTTTTCTGCATAAAGCAATAGTTCAAACATGCATTTCTTACTGCTTATTTTTCATTAAAATTTTCAATCGTGCCTAATAGAACTTACACATTTTTCAAAAAAATTGTTTTCCTTGAAAATTTAATATTTTAGTTTTTAATTTTTGAATTTTATTTTAGGTTTTCTAAAGTTTTTGTCGTAGGGGTTTTAAAGAAACATATAGCTTTAAGGAGAATTTTTTAAAAAGACAGAAATGGAAAACCATAACAGAGATTATTTGGAAATGGGTATAGAAGATCTTGACTTTTGACCATTAAATCCCTGAGCTTTATGAAAACTTCAGCTAATGAGGAACACATCCCTTATGTAAAATCCAATGTTGGATTCAATAAAACATATCCATTTGAGATCTAAGTTCTTTTGAGGACATTTTTGAAAATTGCCTTGTGGCAATGTATTTAATATTTATTGCTTAATACAGTAGGAAAGTTCTTCCACAGAAGCTTTTTTGAAATGAACATATATAACAAGGGTTTGCACTATGATATATGGAGTCCCAGACAAATACTGTTTGTAAGACCCATTTATAAAGATTAAGTCCCAGTCTGGGAGTGCCACTCTGGCCATTCAACGTCCAATGGACTTACAGAACTACAACAACAAACACAGAGCCACTGAAAAGGAGCTACCTCCTCGATCGCCTGCCTCCTAAGAGCCAGTCTTTTCTTGAGGTCCTGGGTAAACGCCTAAAGCTCAATCCCAGACTTTGAGCAGAAAGTCAGAGTGAGCCCAGATGTGCAGAAGGCATCAAAACCCAAGCAGCTCCAATTCGGAGGAGGACAGCTTGCTCAGATCAGATTGCCTCATGTACAGGAAGGGTCTTTAAATGTAAGACTGTTGCAGAGTCTCTGTGGAGTGTTTTGAAGGACGTATTGAAGTATCTGTGGTTATTCCTTAAGGCTTCTGTTTATACGATCTCTCAATATGATCATAAAATATAACAATTACTGGCGACATTTATAAGATAACATACTCATATACTTCTAGTACAATTGGTTTTTATTAAGTTTATTATGACAATTTTGATTGACATAATGATCACATTCATCATGTGGAATTTGAACCTGTACATGATCTGCTGTTATTTTTATCTTTTTTCCCATTCCCTCCCCTTCCTTTTACCCTGTTTCCCTGCCTTATTTACAAAAGCTTCATTTCTATTTTATCATTATTTTCTCATTTTTCCCTTTTTCCTCCCTCCCATGCCCCTTCCTATGTGAACTTTTGTGCAAAAATGAACCAAAATGTATTCCAGACAGTGCAAAATAGGAAGAAGTGCAAGTATTTTTAATTAATATAAGCATAAGTTTTGAAATCTAAGACAAAGGAAAGAATACCATGGCCCCTAAACTACTTTGCCAGCATAAGTTTGCTTATAAAGACAGACATCACAGCGAAATTCCTGGAATATCTGCATGAAAGTGTGCTCTGTTTTTGGCTGAATCTGATCCATAGATATCAGTTGCGAGAATTGGAGGCCACAAAGTTGACAGTTTGTTGAAAAGAATATTTTTAAAAATCCTGGATAGAAAAGCACTTCTCCTCCCACTGGGTATAAATGGAAAATACCTACAAGTTTGATTATGAAAGTTGTTGTTTGGTATTACATTATAATTCTTCAGAGAATATGGCGTTTATTGTGTTAGTACTTTCATTGCGGAGACAAAATACTTGACGCTCAAAGTTAAAGGGGGGAAGATTTATGTAGCTCACTGTTTGTGGAGGTTTCATTCTGTATTTGGCTGGCACCAAGGCAGAAAGGAACATGGCAAAGGGGTATCACAGAGGAGAAACAGTTCATTGCTCACAGAAGACAGAAAAAGCAACAAGCGACATTAAGAGAGCCTCTTTTGTCTTATCCAGCCTACTTTGGGCAGGTGGCACTCCAACCCTTAACCATAGTGACCTAGAGCCTAGCATTGCACATGAATCATTTTGAGTGTCACACACTCTAGATCCAGCCAGCTCTATAAAGGCCCCACCCGTGACCACATGAGGGTTTGTTGCAGAGGGGTGGTCTCTAAACACAAGACATAGTAACATTTATCCAGTTAACTTAACAGATGAATTAGTATTTGTAAATTTGAAATAAAAAGAATAGGTATAACTCTAAACCTAGGGTTATATTTTAGCAGTATTATTTCTACAGATACATGGTAATAAACCCTCATGGTTCCCCAAGATGATGCATTTCTAGTTTAAATGAAACATCAGTTGCCAAGATTTTCTTTCCACAATGAAACTAATTAAAGTTTAATTAACTCTACATTGTTGATGCTTCTAGATTTGGGAATAGAATTATGAGAGCATGGAGACTGATTCAAAGCATTGTATTCATGTATGTTATACACGCACACACACACACACATATGAAGATTTATATTCTTGCTCTTTCTGGAAAGCACTGTAAACAGCCTATAGAAAAGTAAATTGTTATCAATAGTACAGATTTTATGCAAAAGAAAAAGGCAAATTGACAAGTGACCACTTGTGAGCCTCAAATCCGACATTCTATTTTATTAAAGAAAAAGCTTTTGTGGAAAATATTTGTGTAGCTCTCCGTACTGACAACTCCATTTATTTAGAGAAAAAAATTAATTTTCCTAAATGCAAAAATAAGACCATGTCTTCATATTTACAGAGGAGAATTTATGTAACTTAGTGGACATTTGTCTTAACAATAGTTAAATTTTGTGTTTTTTTTTTTCTTGAATGATTGGCCCCCTTTTGAGTAAAAACAAACTATGATATTGTTTCTGATGACTACTACTTACTCTTTTTCAAAAGACGTCACAAGAGTATTTGAAGGTAAAGCCAATGTATTTCTCTAATGAGTGCTTTGAATTTATTGTTAGAGGACAGTTAAGTTTTCCCACAGTAGAGAAAGAGAGAAATGAATTTTATCTGAAAAATTAATCCATTTATTGTTAATTACTCCCAATAAACAAGTAAAAAACTTTTATTACTGGTATATGCATACATGCATGTGTGAGTTCACGTACTCAAGAATGCACAGCGATTTGCTTACACCAACACAGATAATAGTACAACTGTGTGGTACTAATTTTGCCTTACGCTCAAAGCTATGTGTTAAGACAATGCTTCCCATTATATCATCAAAGAATGATTTAGGAAATTGAGTTGTCGCTTCAGATGGGTTGCAGTTACCAGAAATCCTTAAGTCTAAATTGTGTATAAGGACAAAAAGATTTTAAATTACAACATAATTAGACATAGCTTCAGAGGCACCTGTTCACTCAGCATATTTCTGATGGAGAATGTGTTGTATCTGAAGATGATATTAAGTCTTGTGGGGATAAATATAAGTATGACAATCCCTAGATTACTATTATAATAGGTAAGTTTTATTGAATGCTTCCTTTGGGTACTGTTTTAATTGCTCTACGTTCATAAACTTACATAATCTTCAAAACAGCACTAGGAGGAATATTATTAGGAGCTTTATTTTATGTCAGAAAACTCAGGCAATGCAAAGTTAAGTAGCTTCCATATGTTCCAAGATCTTTGCATTCTAAAGTGAAAATTTTAGACCAGGCAGTGTAGCTCCATTTCACCAGAAAAATATCGATGTCTGTCTGTCTCTCAATGGCTAACAAAAGACTCATGCTTTTCCTACCATAGAGACTCAGTTAGGAGCCCTTGCAACCCAGGAGGATCTGTAACTATACCCAGAAGATGGAGAAATTCAATATAGGCTTCACAGTTGTGTAAGCACATCATCTTAACAAGATGATTTGATTTTCCCTTTTAAAGAGGTAGTAAGGAGCAAAATTTTTATAAAGATGTGGGACGAAAGCAAAGTGAGCTCTGGTAGCCATGCAGAGTTTGTGAGCGAACTCTTTAAGAAAATAGAGAATGTATGAAACATCTCAATTTGAATCCACACACAAGTAGTATTT